ATTCTATTAATGAAACTGAATACAAAATAAAATCATTACCTACAAAGAAGAGCCCAGGCCCAGACAGATTCACTAAAGAATTCTACAAGAAATACAAAGAAGACCTAATGCCAACACTCCTCAAAAAATCTTCACTGAAATGGAAAGGGAAGCAATCCTTCATAATTGTTCCTAGACGCAAATATTACTCTAGTACCAAAACCAGAGGAGGACCCAACTGAAAAAGAGAACTAGAGACCAATCTCCCTAATGAACATAGATGCAAAAATCCTCAATAAAATATTGGCAAATAGGATGCAGCAAATCAACGAGAAGATCATATACCATGACCAAGTGGGATTCATCCCAGGCATGCAGAGATTGTTTAATATATGTAAATCAATAAATGTAATACACCATATCAATAAAGCCAAAAGTTATAATCACATGATCATTACTACAGATGCAGAAAAAGCTTTTGATAGGGTCCAGCATACATTTATGATAAGAGCCTTGCAGAAAATTGGAATAGATGGTCCTTACCTCAATATAATAAATGCCGGCAATGACAAAACAACAGCCAGTACCATACTAAAAGGTGAAAAACTGAAGGCCTTTACTTTAAAATCAGGCAGAAGACAAGGATGTCCCTTATCACAGCTCCTATTTAATATAATACTGGAAATACTGGGCAGAGCAATTAGAAAAGAGAGAGAAATAACAGGTGTAAAGATATGAAAAGAAGTTATATTATCATTACTTGCAGATGACATGATACTTTGTATAGAAGATCCCTGAAGCTCCATTGAAAGACTCCTAGATATAATAAATAAATTCAGTAATGTAGCTGGATACAGAATCAATACTCAAAAATCAATAGCATTCCTATGCACTAACACAAAATCACAGAGACAGAAATAAGACGCCACACCCTTCACGCTAGCAACCAAAAAAATGAAATATTTAGGAATTACTCTCATGAAAGAAGTGAAAGACCTATACAGGGAAAATTATAACACAATGAAAAATGAAATTGAAGATAATCTCAGAAAATGGAAAGACATCCCTTGCTCATGGATAGGAAGAATAAATATTGCGAAAATGGCCATTCTCCCAAAACTTTTATACAGATGCAATGCAATCCCGATAAAAATACCATCAACATACCTCATAGAACTTGAGAAACCACCCCTAAAATTCATCTGGAATGAGAAGAAACCTAGAATAGCAAAGACAGAGGCAGCAAAAGCAAGGCAGGAGGCACCATAATCCCTGACTTGATGTTATACTACAAAGCAACTGTAGTGAAATCAGCATGGTACTGGAACCAAAACAGAGCCGAAGATCAGTGGAAGAGATGAGAAGATACAACCACCACTACAAACACACTAAACTACCTTATCTTTGATAAATGGGCCAAACATGTTCACTGGAAGAATGACATTCTCTTTAATAAATGGTGGTGAAAAACTGGCTCTCCATATGCCTAAAACTAAAACTAGACCCATGCCTATCACCAAGTACTAAAATAAAATCTAAATGGATCAAAGATCTAAATATTAAAACAGAAACACTAAATCTATTGGAAGACAAATTGGGTAAAAACCTTGAAGACATAGGAGTAGGTAGAGAATTGATGAACAGGACTCAAACTGCATGGGAAATTCTTCCCAGAATCAATAATTGGGATCACTTCTTATTAAAAAGTTTCTGCACATCAAAATAAATCTCCAGTATAGTTAAAAGAAAACCCACAAACTGGGAAAAGTCTTAGTGAACTGCCCCTCAGACAGAGGACTTCTGTCTAAAACATATAAAGAATTTTTTAAAATGAGACCACCAAAATTCAAAGACCCAATCCAAAAATGAGCATCTGAGATGAATAAACAATTTTGAGATAAAGAAATATAAATGAAAAATAAATACATGAAAAAATGTTCACCATCAATGGTCATTAGAGAAATGCAAATTAAAACCACACTGAGATTACATCTCACTCCTGAAAGAATGGCCAAGATAAAGAAAACCATCAACAACAAATGTTGGAGATGCTGTTGGGACAAAGGAACTCTCCTGCACTGTTGATGGGAGTGACTGGTACAACCATTGTGTAGGTCAGTCTAGAGATTTCTCAGAATGCTGTGACTGGAAGTACCTTTTGACCCAGCTATTCTACTTCTAGGCATATTCACAGAAGAACTGAAAGCATCATTCCACAGCGATATATGTGCACCCATTTTTATAGCAGCGCAGTTTGTAATTGCCAGATTTGGAAACAACCTAAGTGTCCATCAACTGAAGAATGGATAAAAAAGTTATGGTGTTTTTATACAATGGAGTACTACTTAGCTATAAAGAATGATCACATTGACATATGAATAAATGGATGCATACTGAGACCATACTCATAAGTGAAATAAATCAAACTTACATGTATAAATACCAAATATATTCCCTAGTATAAGAAATGATAATACATAGAAGTATGTGGTAATCATGATACCCAATCATGTTGGTGTGAATGCACATAATGTTTTCACTCATTAAGTTCAATGGTTTTATTCTGGGTTTTTCAATTTTAGTATCTGTGATGGTACAAATAGCTATTCTGAAGAAAATAACACATCATAAAAGCTAGTGCTGATTTAATATCACCTTCTTTGGAATTCCCATCAAGTTGTTGTACAAGTTTCCACTGATTTTAACATGTTGTATCTTACTATATTTTAGTGTGATAGTATAAATAAAAATTTTTACAGGCAAAGAGATAATATAGAAATCGTTGTTCATTTTCTGTTAACTGGCTCTAAATACCCTATAATTCTTTCATTCTCTTGAATGGCTTCACACTGTCTTGATTTGATTGATTCTGTAGTATACGAAGTTATACTCAAATAATTCAAGGAAAGAGGCACTATGGTGACTACTAGTATGTTAGATTACCTGGTGGTGAAACAAAATGATGCTTTAATTTTTCAGTTCTGACCTGTGTTGTTCTATTACAATGTCTCTTTTATCTCAATCTCCACCCTTTTAAAAATTATTCAATTTTTTCTTATTCTTTTTCAATTAAAGGAAAACTAAATTTAAAAATAGCGGGATATATTATAGTAACTTTTTTTGTTTTCCTATTAACCTGATTTTAACCCCAGTATTGCTCTCCCCATCTTGTTCTGCCTGATTTTACTGTATTCTATTTTGTTTGATAGTATCAAGTTTGAGGGTATAGGCAATCACTTTGTAGGCAATAAGATGTACTATGATGCCCATTATGGTTTGACTATTACCTTCTTTAGAAATTCTGTAAGGTCTCCAATGTAGATTTTATTGGTCTTGTTCTGTACTGTTTCTAATCAGTTCTATTATACCTGAAGATATAGGGAACTCTTTTTAAAAATAGCAAGAGGCAGTGGTAACCATTTTTGATCACCTGATATTCTATTTTTGCTTCAAGTACTATGCCCATCCTTACGTTCAAACCAACTCCGTTTTGTTAACTCACTTGAGGTTTAATTCTCTTCAAAAAAAGTAATAAGAACTATGGTAGTAAAAAAAAACCCCAAAGGTGTAATTGTTATTGTGAAGAAGAGAGGAAAGGAAGGTGGTCTAAGGGATATAAGTGCCTGTTTGAGTGTGTAGGAAGGAAAACCATATTACTGAACTTTTGTTGGATCACTGAACAGAACTGTCTGCACTCTTGCTGTAGGAATGTTCACTTTATATGCTTTAATTTTATAATTTGGACAACTGTTTCTAAGAAGACAATATGTAACCTATTAACTAGTGATTTCTTACTGTATTTTTTTCTTGAAATTCTGTATTATTTGTACCCTTTTACTGCTTTGGTTTTTTATGTTCTTTTTTTCCTCCTTAAATAAAAAAAAATTAAACCTGGAATTTATATCTTTTATTTATTTATTTTTTGGTACTGGTGATCAAACTGACAACCTCACACTTGCCAGGCAGGGGCTTAAGCCACTGAGCTAAATCCCCAGCCCCCCAATATATATCTTTGACATCTTATCATCTTCAGAGTAGTTGCCTCTACTCTTGGACTTGATACCAGCAAGCATACCAAATGTGAATAAAATCAGTCAAGGCCAAATAACATTCAAACAAACCAGCTTCAAATAAGATCAGTCATAGTAAAACAATGTAAGTAATACAGGGTTTCAGTTTTAGTTAATAGGAAATTAAGGACAATTACCATCATGGTATAACCTGCCATGTTTGGGTTATCTCTCTGTGCCCTCAAATCTAATATGAGTAGACAGACCAGAACAAAATATAATCAAACTAAACAGAGCAACAGAACTACTGTAGCATTTAAATCCTGATACACTTTTAACAATGTGCTCTGCCTTCTTTATTTAGGCAATTCCTCACCTTTCTCCTTCTCAGGATACTATTATTCACTATTCAGAGTGATATTAGTTTAGTCTCTTATGTTCAATTTCAGCATACATAAAAGTAAGAAGTGGAGCTCTACTCAAGTACATATTGTACTTGAGTATACGTAGTAGTATACATTGATGTATTTTACAAAATCCATGTGTGGTGAAAGCTTTCCCACATTCTTCACATAAACAGGGTTTCTCAACAGTGTAAATTTTTTCATGTATTGGACAACAATGAGCATTTCTGCTGAAACCATTCTCTACTACGAAGAGAATGAGACACATTATGGTAATCATTATCAACTTCCCCAAAATCAGTCTTGAAGATCACAAAAGCCTGCATCATCCTGTAATTATTTGATTAGTTCTATAATGTTCAGTATATATTCAATGCATGTGAAGTTGGCAACAACTATTTGGAAGAAAACTAGAGACAGTAAGATAGAAAATGAACATCTCAGTGGACATGCTTTGAAACCTGTTTCCTTAACTTGTTTCCTTATGAACTGTCCTGTTTTGTCATGTTTAATCTTACCGTCTTTAAGATAAAAAACAAGTTTGTAGAACAGATAAGCATATTAATATGTTTTTGTTGGATCACTGAGGTGAACTGTTTGCAGTGTTATTATTTGACTATCACTTTGTATGTTTTAATTTTGTAACTTGAACAATTACTTCTAAGATGACAATATGTAACTAATCAACTAGTGATGTCTTATTGTTTATTTTTCAGAACTTCTGTATTATTTCTACATTTTTTGCTTTTTTCTTTAACTAATAATAATTCACCAAAAATATAAAAATTAAGGTTTGAAGACAAAATATTAAGTACATGGACACTATCCATACTTAAAAGTGAAAAGCCCATTTCAGTTTATCATGTTTAATTACAAGATGCCATTTTGAAGCACAAAGACACTTTAAAAAATCTAAACAGGTATAAGTGATTAACTGAAAACCATAAAAATATGTACTTGAGTAGAGCTCCACTTCAGATTTGTCATTTCTGGAAAATTTGTGAAGAAATATTGACATCAAACTTCTGTATTGATTATTTCTTCAGGTCTACTTGGAATGTTTAAAGTAAACTTAGATGTAAACTGTCTGAAGAGAGCTGTTTTATCTATGTATTTAACAACAAACATGGATTGCCGTATTTCTCACACTGTTAATACACATAGGATCAAGTGATATCTTTCAGATATGTAACAATGATCAAGTCTGCTGAGAGTATTCCCATAACACATAGGATTTACCTCTTGTGTGAGCTTTTTCACGTATTTCACTTACAATCTGGCTGCTGAAAGTGTCTCCACTTGCTTACGTAGCCAGTGGTTCATCCCAGTGTGAATTGTTTCATGTGTTTTGCAATGACTGTATGTGGTAAAAGCTTTGCCACATTGTTATATACATAGGGTTTTTCATCAGTGTGGAGTCATTGATGTATTTTACAAAATCCATGTGTGGTGAAAGCTTTCCCACATTCTTCACATAAACAGGGTTTCTCAACAGTGTAAATTTTTTCATGTATTGGACAATGAGCATTTCTGCTGAAACCTTTCCCACATTCCTTACATATACAAGTTTTCTGCCTGTGTGAAGTTTTTCACACATTATGCAATATGTACTTGTGCTTAAAAATTTTTCATGATGCTTATATACACTGGTTTTATCTTGAGTGTGAACTTTCATGTCGCTTACAGTGTCCATGTCGGGTAAAAGCTTTCCCACATTGCTTACATACATATGGTTTCTCACCAGTGTGAATTCTTTCATGTTGTTTACAATGTACATGTTGGGTAAAAGCTTTCCCACATTGCTTACATACATATGGTTTCTCACCAGTGTGAATCCTTTCATGTTGCTTACAAAGTCCATGTCGGGTAAAAGGTTTTCCACATTGCTTACATATATATGGTTTCTCGCCAGTGTGAATACTTTCATGTTGTTTACAATGTACATGTTGGGTAAAAGCTTTCCCACATTGCTTACATACATAGGGTTTCTCTCCAGTGTGAATCCTTTCATGATTTTTACAACCTGCCCATGTGTTAAAAGCTTTTCCACATTGCTTACATATATATGGTTTCTCACCAGTGTGAATACTTTCATGTTGCTTACAATGTCCATGTTGGGTAAAACCTTTACCACATTGCTTACATACATAGGGTTTCTCTCCAGTGTGAATTCTTTCATGTTCCTTACAACATCTATGTGTGGTAAAAGCTTTCCCACATTGCTTACATACATAGGGTTTCTCTCCAGTGTGAATCCTTTCATGATCTTTACAACCTGCCCGTGTGTTAAAAGCTTTCCCACATTGCTTACATACATATGGTTTCTCTCCAGTGTGAATTCTTCCATGTTTCTTACAATCTCCCTGTGTTTTAAAAGCTTTCCCACATTGCTTACATACATATGGTTTCTCTCCAGTGTGAATTCTTTCATGTTGCTTAAAATGTTCAGATTTGGTGAACCCTTTTCCACATTGCTGACATACATAGGATTTCTCTCCACTGCAATATTTTTCATGGATCTGAACATTGTGGTGTGTTTCTGATTCTTTCATATTCACATTACCTTCTGCAGTACAAGGGAATACTTCTTTACACTGATTCCAAAATGTATGTCCATAGGATTTCCCTAGCTTTTCATTTCTGTAAAAAAATCACATATAGGATTGATAACCGTATTACAAAGATTTTATTGAAGAGTTGAGCAAAACTGCAGTCTCACTGTTTGAATCCCCACTTCATATGTTTCACTTTTTTGTTTCATTAACTATTTCTAAGAGCAGCATATGTAATCATTGACTTTAGATTTCTTACTGTTTATTTTCACTTTGAAAGTGGTATTATTTCTACTTATTTTGTCTTTTTTTAGTCTTTCCTTACATTAAATAAAAAAAGAAAAATTCACAGTGAAATGGGTCTCAGTTTAATGACTGCATTAATGTCAAGTTCTGTTTTTAATGCCTAAGAAATTCTGACCATGAAGTAACAGAATGGCCTTGTAAGACATGTTGAAAACAACCATCCCCAAAAGACTGGTACACGTTTGGAAATCTTAAAATTTGGTACCTTTTGTAATGCAGAATCTTTAGCTTCACTTTGGGCATGGGTACATATGTGCATCACATACAGAACATTCTGATATGTTTCCCCATCACTATCTCCCTTCTGTCCTTAACCTGTAGGTCCCTTTTCCATATGGTCAGTCTTACTTTTCTTTATTAACTCTCTTTCATTTCATTCCACAATTTATATTTTGGTTTCTCATCTAAAAGAAACCCTGTGAAATTTTAGGTTTTATAGCTGAGCTATTTCACCGAATTGATGGGAGAAAGAATCACCTATTGCTTATGGCAAATGACATTATATTCTTTATTTTTTGACATTATATAACACATTTTTTTTTCTTTTCCATGCTGGGAATGAAGAACAGCTATTAGCATAAAATCTATAGCTTTTAAAATCTGTTTTAAGACATTTTCGCTGATCATTAAGTTGTGAAGTTTGAACTTGAATTTGCCATTCTGCAAAATCTGATTCCTAGTGTGCTGGATTTACAAGAATGCCCAATCACAGAGAGTCTATTAACATTTTCCTTCTCCACAAATCCAGTGATTGATAGGTAAGCTTCTTCAAGGCATGATCTATTATAACTTGATCTGCTTTGTATATGAGTAAGCATGTATCAGTATTTTATGTGGATTTTGAATTTTTAAAAATATATCCAAGACAAGTATGAGGGGATCAATTTCTAGAGACAAATGCACACTGATAATCAGAATGAGTGCACTTAACATTCTACCAGCCTTCTAAGAATTTTACTCAGAATGGCTGATTCTTTAGAGCATGGCTTGGAAACACAAGCACTCTGTTTTATTTCAAATTCTATTGCAATCATAGAAATTTTTAGATAATGAATGTGTTGTATTCACATGTATATATGGGTAGAAAAACTGAAGGGAGAATGTCATAACTCAAAGTGTATGCCTTTCATACACATCTATATGCAATGTCATACATTTTCATGATTTAATTCCCTCATTATACATACCCTAGCTTATACGACTTCAGAGAATATTAGTGACAATAAATTGAATGGTGCCTTATTTGTTTGGTTGTCATTTTTCTGCTGACTAACTAATTACTCAGGAACATTCCTTCTCCTTGTGAGTGCAAATTACCTTAAGTATCTCCAGTAAATTTTGCATCGTTTTTCAGCTTCCTGGATATCCCCAAGTCCTCCTGAATTGTAGAAATAGAAATACGAGCACTCATTAGAATAATACATACAAATTAATAGATTTTGTTTAGAGTTATGATATAATGTGTCCAGGTCTGAGCTATTTTTAAAAATATTTTCACATTGTTTTTAACAAACAGCACTAATGAGTGACATAAAACATTCTGACAGCATGAGTGACAAAATTATTTTGTCCTTACCAATTGCAGTCATGTTCCTAAAGGTTTCGCCCATCACATCTCTGTAGAGGTTCTTTTGGGATGGACTCAGCAAAGTCCACTCCTCATTGCTGAACTTCACCACCACATCCTCAAAGGTCACCAACTCCTAATGGATCATACATATATTTCTCACACAAAGGTTGAGACACCAGGTTTGTGATATCTTAAATTCTCTCCTACAAATCTGAATCAAAAGAAAAGTGTGGTGGTGCATATCTATAATCCCAGCACTCAAATGCTAAGACAGGATGGCTTCGGTGAGTTCGGGCAATTCTAGGCTCCATAGGGTGTTCAAATCCAGCTGATATACATACAGAAAGCTTGTCTCAATAAAACAAAACAAAACGAAACTAATAAAACCAAACAAAACAGCTGAATGAAGACTGATTTCTTCAAATTTAAATCCATGTTTTGTTCATTAATTTTGTGTATATACACATTTTTGAAGACAGCAAATTTGATGATAGATTGCAAGTCACTGCTGATGTAACAGTGAAATAGGAGCACTGATTCTTGTGCTGAGTCATGGCAAGATTCTCTGTGTACTGTCTCTAAAGCAGAGCTCATAGTGAGAAGCCTGCAGACCAGCATCCACAAAGCACAGAGGCACATAAATATCCCATCAATCAACTGGGAAGCCAAGCAAGGACCTCCCTTCCCTGATAAGTGATGGCAATGTGGCAGACTGTGGCCCATCCAGGGGGCAAACCAGCAGCTCCTTAGATCCACGCTATGTGGGAACTTAGGATGCTGTGAAACCAAACAAGCAGCCTGTTTCCCTACTAAGCAATAGTGAACCTACTGATGAACAGCCTAGAATCAAACATCCCTCTTCCCTACCCCTCTTCTCCTGTCACCCCCCCCCCATTAGCAAAGGAAACCACAAATCTGAGAATCTCCTGGGAAGCAAGCCATAACAAATAAAGGGGACTTCCTTGTAGTATCTCTTTGAAGGCAAATATTTTTATTACTGTTTTGCCCTATTCTGATTAATGGTATTGCTCTATTCAATATTCTGTTTTGATAAGTACTATAATGTTCTCTATTTCATCTCATTTTGATATACATGTTTGAAAGAACAACTATTATAAAGATAATAAAATATGTTGTGATACCTATTACTGTTATCCCAGTAACCTGTTGTAAAGTTGTGTACCAATTTCACTGTATGGTCTTAGTTGGCCTTATTCTGCCTTGTTGTGTTGTAATATACCACTTTCAAAATTTAAAAAAAGAAAGAAAATCTCATCAATCACTTTGATAGGCTACAGATAATGTCTCTTCAAAACTCATTTAGGCCAGTTAGTACTTTGTTCTTAATATACTTCAGCAGCATTTTGAAACATGAATTTGGTTTCATAGAACAAAACATAAATAACATCCAATATGGTACACAAATAATAACTCAAATGTTAGTGGAAAATACTGTTTTTAAAAAATAAGTATATAAAATGGAACCAGGCCCAAGCTGTAATTTACAGCTCACTGTCACCAAGCGATCACTTTCAATTCAGATATAAGAAATATATCTTGGGAGGCTGGGGAAGGAATTCTTCCTTGAATTTGGGGCTATCCTAAATTACAGAGCTGTATAAAATAGAGAAACCCTGACTGTGACACCCCACAGACAAAGTGAAACTTGAAAAGAGAATGCATAAGACACCTTTGGTTTGTTTTTAAAAATTATAGCCATACAATCCCGAAAAATGCCAATAGTGTTCAACACTTTCTGAGAAACAATGTGGATATCTTCCATACTACACAGAAAACACTTTCATAGTTGGGTATTTAGCTCAGTGGCATGACTGTCTTCCGAGAAAGCATAGGTAATGAGTTTGATCCTTGGTACAAAAAAAATCCCAATTTTACCTTCATGAACTGGAGCATTAGAGATAATCCAAATTAAATCTCAAGTATGGAACAAAAAATACATGGGTTGACAAGGATGTGAAATACTGATTGTTGCCAGAGCTGGTGTTGATCACATCAAGGAAGCAATCAGAACTCAACTTTAACTTCATACTTACTCTAAGAACTACCTGAATTTCAGTGAAGACCCTCTCTGTTGTATGTCCTGCTATTGGCTTCCTGCATCTTGTCAGTCACTTGCACATCCTTTCCATGCTCCTCTGATCCATCCTCAGCAGGAAACCCTTCATGCCAAACTATTGATATCACTGCAAAATTTCTATTTAGAGCATCTCCTTTATACCACTTAGTAAAGTCCATTGCAGAGCATTTCCATATTTAAATTGTGCATGAACAAACAAACGACTAAATCAGCACTTAGTAAAGACCATTGCATAGCATTTCCATATTTAAACTGTCTATGAACAACCAAACTACTAAATCAGCTCTTAATTCAGATGACACCCCAATTCCTTTCCATTTAGAACAATATGATGTGTATATGTCCCTGCAAATGCCTATATTTTGGCATTTTTTGATGAGAATTTAACAGGTAGCCCTTTCTGGAATTTGCCCTTAACAAATTTTTACCCTGTCCTTGATTACACTTTCATATTTGCTTCATTGTTCTCAAACTTCAAAACTCTATGGCTGTGCTCACAAATGTGAGCAGGGGTGCCACATAAATAATTAAGTATGTTCAGAAATTATTTTGCACTGTTCTGTATAATACACAGGAGTTTACCAGGTGTTTGGGAAGCCTTCCTCTACTGAAGCACATTACTACACATCTCTGTATTCTTAGGACCTTTGCCACTACCTGTCATGAGGATGGAAATATGAGAACATACTATAAATATAGGAGACCACTATAAATACAAAAAAGCCAAAGTTTAATTTGAGCCATTGTGACTATAAAGCCCTGCATTACAGGCATTAATGAACTTTGGACATTCCAGAACAGCTACTCTGAGGAAAGAGAGCAAAGACCTAGCTCATTACTGCTCTACAAGCTACAAAAAGCATCATAGTCAGGGTCTTCCCAAACTCCTTCCAATGCCTAAGATTGTGGAGTTACCAGGCCAGCAGTCAATTTCAAAGATTATACTTGAGTCTGCTGCTGTCATAGTGGAGCCAGGGTTCTGGGGACCCCAAATCACCCTTGCCAACAGCAAGAGGCAAAAGGGACAGTGAATGACCCATGGCCAATGCTTGAGGACCTCAGGAGCTGAAGCAACTAAATACCTGAGGCTCCAGACACCAGAACTACTCCTAAATACTTGTAACTGGTTTCACCCAATCCACCCTATCTCTGGGCTCCCATCCACAACCTCACCCTTCCATTGCTCCAAGATCTCTCAGGTTCTTTGCTAATCAGGCCACAGGACATCAAAAGTACTAAATGAGATCCAGAAAGCATTTTGCTACCAGTATTATACTCAGAACAGGGAAATCATGATGAGACATCAGAAGAGACAGAAGTCACAGCCAGCAATGGCCCATTGGATTGGACAGTTCATAGAGCCTGCCCCTTCATCACTGATTGACTCCTGCTCTACTGCCCTCCTTCTGAGTCAAGAATAAACAGGGAAAGGAACCCTAACCCTGCAAGAGAGGATCCCAAATGATAGACTGTAGTGCAGAAGCTTCTTGAGCTGCCATTCTTCTCCAGTGGTGAACTCAGCTGGATAGAGGAGTATTTCTACAGAAGAGCTTTACCTCAGGCTTTTAATTTTCAAATCCATTTGATTTCAAGGAAAAAAGAACACATCAACTAAAATTAAACTTCAAAACATGTTAATCAGGGGGCAACACTGGTATATACATTGCACATTGTCATCCCCAGGTCATTCACATAGAGCACAAGACATCTCTAATCAATTTTCCAAACAGTACTGTTACAGGGAACCTGAGTTATTTAAATAGTATTGGCAGGAGACAGGGCTAGGTCCCCCAAGCAGCCCATGCAGGAGACCAGATAGCTTGCAACTATGGGGAAGACTGACACCTCATGCTATGGGCCAAGGCTGAAGACAAATGACAAGCAAATTCATCCATATCCTAAGGATTGATATTCTAAATAGTTCCCTAGCACTCTGAGGAAGTCAGGAGTCACCATTTAAAGAAAGGTATCCTTATCCTAAAGACTGACATTCTAAATAGTTCCTATCATCCTGAGGAACTCAGGAGTCACCCTCCCAAACCCCTAAGGGAAGTCACAGCTACCTAAGAATGCCTGCTTTCTATGTGACTCCCTTCCCTCTTTGTTCCCAATTTAATCAACTTTACCTGAACTTATAATCTTATTGGTTACCTTAGCTCTGTCCCATCTTATGCCCATCTGCATTGTGAGTTCCTAGTTTTCCCCTCCTTAAACTAATTTCACCACATGATTTTACTCTATAAAGATCCCTAGAAAGGACAGTGTTTGGCAACCTGCTCAGGACCCCTTCTCTGTCTCAGGCAGCTTTCTTTCTCTCAATAAGTATATTCTTCTGTTAATTTCTGTTGTTCCTAAAATTCAGTCTTTGACTTTACAGAACAAAAACTTCATATCAGACATAGCATACCTGGAGACTGATTTTGCTATAGCAATATCAGTATAAACTTTTCTCTTTCTGGAAGTCAGAGAAATCAGTTGTAGTTTATATTACACAATGTTGAACTCACCTTGCCAGGGATACTTGCATTGAAGGCCTTTATCCCTGCCTTTAAGTGCTGCTTCTTTTTTGAAAGTGAACTGATCTGTAATTTTGGTTATGGTATCCACAATGTATTAAGGAATTGAATCAAAATATTTCTTATGAATGGCTTATCTCCAGCCATGGTAGAAGACAGATAGCAAAAATTCTTTGTTTTGATTTCTTCATTCAGTCCAAAGGATGTACTTGAAAGAGTTTTGCCCTAGAAAAATTATAGGACCTCATAGTGGTAGTTCAAGGTGGAAGAAGGTAAACTCAGGGATGCTTACTCACATGGCCACTTCCTCTTTTCTCCTTGATTACAACATCCTCTTTCTTTCCCAGGGGCCTAAAGAAAATTCCCATTAGCTTCTAGCATGACATCACTGTCCCCTCCAAGCACCACATCCAGTCAAAAGTCACATATACCCCATAACCCCATAGTCAGTCAGAAAAAAATAAAAGCCAAGCCCTTAATGGCTGTGGGCTTGTCTCCACATTCTTTAAATAAAAGGCCACTTTTACATTCTTATATTCAGCTTCTCTATGGTGCTAAGTTACCTCCTCAGTAATATCAGTAATCTAACCCACTTTAAACCATTTTCACCACATGAGTTTATTCTATAAAGTCCCTATAAAAGACAGAGTCCTTTGCTATCTGCTCAGAATCCCTCCTGTTTCTCTCAGACAGAAGCTTTCTGATAGGATTTTTGGTGTAATAAAGAAGAGAATATAAAGTCAAAATGGCCTTTATTCTAAATACATGGAGAGAACCCCATGACCACTGGGGGTCTCACTTTTTCTTTTGGAAGTGTGTGGGTGGCATACATATAGTTTTTGACTTGGGTGGTGCTTAAAGGTGGCATTGCTGATATGCAAGTAGCTGATTGAGATTCTTTTCTGGCCACAGGTAAGTTGAATAGGGAAAAGGAAAGTGACTTCCAGGTAAAAGTCCCTTGGTTCCACCTCCCACTCCCAAAATATCCTATTTAGAGCAAAATACTTTCACTTTCTCTCTTTCAATAAATATATTCTGCTCTTCAACTCTGTTGTTCCTAAAATTCATTCTTGCACTATAGAGAACACAAACTCATACCAGACATAGAAGGTCAGGAATTGCATTCCACTGTATCATGGTATGGTTGCCTGTATTTCTAACTCAGCTGTCTGTAACTTTAAGAATTGTTTATCAATTTGACTTGGAGTAATTGTAGCAAATAAATGTTCTTAATGGATATAGGGAAATATATCATTAAATTGAAAAAAATGTTTATCACAGTTTTTCTAGCTAGCATCAGCCAACATTTTCAACTTTCAAATATGTGGGAAAACAAAAACTAAAAACAACTCAGAAAATAGCAATCCTTTAGGGGACAGTACATCATTCACTGTAATTGCCATGTTATCTGCAGGTATTTCATAGACCAAAAAAGAAACATTGAGCCTGTTAATTAACAAGCATAAGTTTCAATAAATGTGCTCATAGCACTGCATCGTTGACAACTGTGAATTTTTTTTTTTGTATGAGGGATTGAACTCATGACTTTGTGCTCTCCAGGCAGCTCCTTGTATCACTGAGCTCAATCCCCAGCCCAAACAACTTTTGATACTAAATGTAACTATTAACAATGTTTAATTTGCCATTGACATATTTAATTATAAATTTTGTAAACCTACATTTTCACGAATGAAATTATTTTCTTTCCTTGCAGTTTAAATTACATTTTTTTTTAGGTACCAAGGATCAAAGTTACAACCTAGCACTTTCCAGGCAGGCATTTCTGTCTGCTGAGCTAAATACCTGGCCTGTATTAATATTTTTAAATGTATAAACATCAGTTAATTCACTCAAATACTATTGTGATTTTAGCACAGGATGTCAATGTAGAAAGAAATTGATATACAATGAGAGAGGAACTGGAACCTCAAAGAGTCAATGCAAAAAACTAAATACAACAATCACTGCTACAGGCACAGCTGAAGAAAGCCAGAACTGAAGATGAAGATGCAGTGACCAGGTCTCCATGCTCCTGCAGAGAAAAACAACAGCTTGAAATGTACTACAGTTACCTCAGCCTCCTCCAGGAAGTCCTGCTAGGCATCAATTAGGATACTCAATGACCAGAACAACTGGACTATTGTTCCCACAAAATGCCTTGGCTCTTTCCACATAACTTTTCTGGCTGATTTGTTCCCCTGATGAATAATATTAGTTAAGCAGCTATAATCTTATAGGTTGATTGTAGTCTGAGACACACATTGTACTCACATTGTGACTTTCCTGTA